ACATGTATGTGAGATCTGCCTCAAAGGAACATCTTGGAGGAGAGAAAAATCTGGGGGATGAGAAAGAGCAATACTTGCTATTTGTCACATGATTGGGCAAAGACATTAAGTGGCAGAATTCAAGAAGAATATGAAATGGAAAGCCAATATACATTTGCTTCATTGTATCTTTGGACGTTTCAGGGAGAGATGACCACTTAAGGTCTTCGTGATCTTGAGATGGCCAAAGAGGAAGATAGTGATTTTGACAATTCTGATAGGCTGATCAGAAAGAGATTTCCTGATTTTCCCCTTTTGAGGCTGATTCCTATGTCTGAATAATACATAGAGGAGGAATTGACAATACAAAGTGGAGAGTCTATCAATAACATAACCAGAGGTAGCAGAGTTTGAGAAGGCCATTGTGAAGAGGAACTCAAGGCTCTGGAGGTAGAATTCAGGAGGCAACAGGTCATTTACTCCTGTTTCTTTTTTCTCTGCTTGGAACTGGGTGTAGTACTTCTCTTAGAATGTTTGCAACCCTTAACGGCTGATGTCAACACTGGTGCAACTGAGAATCCCCTGTGAGTAATGGAAAATTTGACTGATATGAGGCAGCCACAAGACATTTTTTGGGACATGGTAGGAGGCTTAGAGAAAATGAGCCTATTGTCTCTAATGTTTGCTCCCAGAATGTAGCTAACAAATAAGAATTATTGGGATTATTGTTTAGAAATGACTGGCTGTACTTACAAATGACTACAGTAGACTACATACACACATACATATACACATACATACATACATACATACATTCCAACTGAGGTAAAAGTTTGCTTCCATAATGTTGGTGCTTGTGAAACAGGATCCCTGGGGCCATATTGCCAAAGATGCCTGTGATGGGAGGACAAAGTGTCCTAACAAATTAATCTAAAGAGTTTTCAGGAAGAGTTCAGAGATGATTAAAGAAAGAAAACAATTAAGGGAAAAGTAAAAGATATCAATACAGTAGAAGGAGGTTCATCTCAAGATTAACACTGTGGTGGTTGAAAACAAAGTGGAGTGGTTTGGAGCAGAACTGTATCTAATCACGTGCTATACAGTATGAGAAGATCAAGGTTCCCACCAAAAAACTATGAACATTCTAGCAGCTTCCAAAAGGAGCTCTGGCAGCACATAACTCATGTGTATGGATAACCAAGACCACAATGAAGAAGTTGTTCTAGGAGTCTTGTTGGCTAAAAAGCACGATTAAAATGCTTAAAGGAAACATTTAGCAGTTAGAAGGCTGAAAAACTGGTTTTTCAGCTTTCAGGCACAAATGCGCAACAGTGCTTTTCCTAAGGTCAGCAAAGCAGGTGGTGGGTGAAGGAGACAAAATAAAGTATTTCACACAGAGAACATGAATGTCATGAGAACTTAATTTTCTTTACTGTTCTTTTTATACGAATTGTCAAATTTTTGACAGCTGATTATATCCCATTAGCAAGATTCTCACAGAGATTTCTTTAAACACTCTATTGAAAGGGAAAAGATGGTATAATGTTACATAAATCTTTACAACTCCCATTTTTAGGACTCCGTTTATCTTTGAGTTTGCAAGGGTGGAACACTTTTCATTCCTTTGTTAACCACCCTTTGATGAACAGAAGCTATAGCTACCTGCTTACAATAAATGGAGGAATATCCAAATGTTCTGAACTTGCAATACTTCCAATAACTCCCTTCTCTTTCCCAGGCTTATAGAAGATCATTACACCAATGCTAGACGTTTTGCTCATAAAGTCACTGTAATAATTTCATAATCTCCTCCCACTCTAAGAAAGCAAACACTTTATTAGAGCTTTAACAGAACATCTCCTAGCTCTTTTCCAAGGCAAAATTAAAACTACCAATGAATAAAAAAGTGAAAGAGGAAAGAGGAAACTGTATTGTCCTTAAAGATTTTATTTCAAAATTCCTTTATACTTTTGCAAAACAACATCACTAAGCTTAACTGCCCCCCCGTGGCTAACACTGTCAAGGACTGTAACAATGATAGGGCACCCTTAATGCTGATATCCTACAAATTCTCTTCCTCATCATTAGAATTTGTTTAGCCATCTTTTCCTGCTCTGGAAAGAGTAAGAACCAACCAAAGAAAGACAACCAGCAGATATCATCAGCACTTCCACATCTTTAGTGATGGCAACTTCCTCTGGATTTATGTCCTTACTTTTACTATTTCATATATGCATGGTATTTGATATCTTAAGACACTATTCTAAGAAAAAACAGCATGCTAATGTACCCCCCTAGTTTTCTCTGCCAGTGTGTATGGCTAAAAAAAATCTAGATAGATTTTCCCTAGTTTACTTTATATGTATGTCAGAAACTATGATTTCTTCCTCTCTTAACAAGTCAGAATCAGAAACCAAAGAAGAATGTGCCAGAGTTCCTTGTTCAAATGTGTTTTTAATAATAATAATAACAACAACAACAGTAATAATAATGGTACACTGGAATATCTGCAAGAAATACCATTTGCCTGCAAGCAAGAACTGGTGGGAC